GTGTGTGTGTGTGTGGTGTGGTGTGTGTGTGTGTGTGTGTGTGTGTGTGTGTGTGTGTGTGTGTGTGTGTGTGTGTAACTCTGTAGTTGCAGCCCTCTTGATGTTGAACAGTCTGTGATTTTTCCCCCAGGTACCAGACGGTATCTGCCCCGGGTCCCTGCGGACGGGCCAGGATCAGGAGACCACCTCTCAGTGTCGAGGACACTGTGTGGCGCTCTCATCTTCCCCTCCATCGCCAGTCTGATGGGACGGCTGCTGTTTGGACGGGTGAACGCGAACCTTCAGCGCACTGTTCTGGTGAGCATTTCTCCTGGAACGCCTCTGGTTCATGTTTGTCCACTTTGTGATCTCAAGACGAAGAGCAAAGCCGTTTATTTCTGCAGAGGGATTTCATCGAAGGTCAACGCAAAGACAAACTTTTTTTCACCTCAAGGGAGAGAAATATGTGTGACAGGGAGTCGTGCTTGAGATTTGCTTTAAAAATGGTCAAACCAAACTTCTTTTTTTTGTGCATTTTCTGCCTTTAATGTAGAGATAGGACAGTGGATAGAGAGAGGAATGACATTCGGGAAAGGAGCCACAGGTGGGATTTGAACCTGGGCCGCCCGCTTGGAGGACTACAGCTTCCATACATGGGGCGCTCGCACTAACCACTGCGCCCCGAACAAGCATTTTAAAAGTTGTCTCCCCTCGTCTGCAGACTGAACAGGAAGATCACGGGTTAGAGTTTAAGTTGTTTTCTGGCCACATCTTATGATGGTAGAAAACCCTTAAAGAGGACATATGACCCCCCTCCTCCATCTTTTCAAACAGTCCTCCTCCACCTTTTCAAACAGTCCTCCTCCACCTTTTCAAACAGTCCTCCTCCACCTTTTCAAACAGTCCTTCTCCTCCACCTTTTCAAACAGTCCTCCTCCACCTTTTCAAACAGTCCTCCTCCACCTTTTCAAACAGTCCCCTCCACCTTTTCAAACAGTCCCCTCCACCTTTTCAAACAGTCCTCCTCCTCCACCTTTTCAAACAGTCCTCCTCCTCCACCTTTTCAAACAGTCCTCCTCCTCCACCTTTTCAAACAGTCCTCCTCCACCTTTTCAAACAGTCCCCTCCACCTTTTCAAACAGTCCTCCTCCACCTTTTCAAACAGTCCTCCTCCTCCACCTTTTCAAACAGTCCTCCTCCACCTTTTCAAACAGTCCTCCTCCTCCACCTTTTCAAACAGTCCCTCCTCCACCTTTTCAAACAGTCCTCCTCCACCTTTTCAAACAGTCCTCCTCCACCTTTTCAAACAGTCCTCCTCCTCCACCTTTTCAAACAGTCCTCCTCCTCCACCTTTTCAAACAGTCCTCCTCCACCTTTTCAAACAGTCCTTCTCCTCCACCTTTTCAAACAGTCCTCCTCCACCTTTTCAAACAGTCCTCCTCCTCCACCTTTTCAAACAGTCCTCCTCCACCTTTTCAAACAGTCCTCCTCCACCTTTTCAAACAGTCCCCTCCTCCACCTTTTCAAACAGTCCTCCTCCACCTTTTCAAACAGTCCCTCCTCCACCTTTTCAAACAGTCCTCCTCCACCTTTTCAAACAGTCCTCCTCCACCTTTTCAAACAGTCCTCCTCCACCTTTTCAAACAGTCCCCTCCTCCACCTTTTCAAACAGTCCCCTCCTCCACCTTTTCAAACTGTCCCCTCCTCCACCTTTTCAAATAGTCCTCCTCCTCCACCTTTTCAAACAGTCCTCCTCCACCTTTTCAAACAGTCCCCCTCCTCCACCTTTTCAAACAGTCCTCCTCCACCTTTTCAAACAGCCCCTCCTCCACCTTTTCAAACAGTCCTCCTCCACCTTTTCAAACAGTCCTCCTCCACCTTTTCAAACAGTCCTCCTCCACCTTTTCAAACAGTCCTCCTCCACCTTTTCAAACAGTCCCCTCCTCCACCTTTTCAAACAGTCCTCCTCCACCTTTTCAAACAGTCCCCTCCTCCACCTTTTCAAACAGTTCTCCTCCACCTTTTCAAACAGTCCTCCTCCTCCACCTTTTCAAACAGTCCTCCTCCACCTTTTCAAACAGCCCCCTCCTCCACCTTTTCAAACAGTCCTCCTCCACCTTTTCAAACAGTCCTCCTCCACCTTTTCAAACAGTCCTCCTCCACCTTTTCAAACAGTCCTCCTCCACCTTTTCAAACAGTCCTCCTCCACCTTTTCAAACAGTCCCCCTCCTCCACCTTTTCAAACAGTCCTCCTCCACCTTTTCAAACAGTCCTCCTCCACCTTTTCAAACAGTCCCCTCCTCCACCTTTTCAAACAGTCCTCCTCCACCTTTTCAAACAGTCCCCTGTGGTCTAAATGAAACATCTGTGCTGTGCTTTGGTCAGAATATAACATGAATCAAGCACCAGAGGAGGTTTGTGACCCTGTATAAACCAGCTCTCTCAGAACGCTCCGTTTTGGTGTGTGTGTCTCTTTAAATGCAGTGACCCTCTCTCTCTCCCCCCCCCCCCCCTGAGTTTTCCCTGTAGACATCACTCCTCTGTAGAGAGAATAAAAATGGCCGACCTGTGCAAAAGTTTTGTTCTAGTCTGGGGGTGGAGTCCATGGGTGGAGATACCAGGGGAGGGGAGGTTTTTTTTTTTTTTTATAATCCCACTGTGACGGGGCGCGCTGGTGGCGCAGTGATAGGGCGCGCGTCCCATGTGTTGAGACTCTCGTCTCGAGCGGGAGGCCCGGGTTCGCCTCCACCCGTGGCCCCTTTCCACATGTCATTCCCCGCTCTCTCTCTCTCTCTGGTTTCAGACTCTATCCTCTGTCCTCTCTCTCTCTGGTTTCAGACTCTATCCACTGTCCTCTCTCTCTCTCTGGTTTCTGACTCTATCCACTGTCCTCTCTCTCTCTGGTTTCAGACTCTATCCACTGTCCTCTCTCTCTCTCTGGTTTCAGACTCTATCCACTGTCCTCTCTCTCTCTGGTTTCAGACTCTATCCACTGTCCTCTCTCTCTCTGGTTTCAGACTCTATCCACTGTCCTCTCTCTCTCTCTGGTTTCTGACTCTATCCACTGTCCTCTGTCTCTCTCTGGTTTCAGACTCTATCCACTGTCCTCTCTCTTTCTCTGGTTTCAGACTCTATCCACTGTCCTCTCTCTCTCTCTGGTTTCTGACTCTATCCACTGTCCTCTCTCTCTCTGGTTTCAGACTCTATCCACTGTCCTCTCTCTCTCTCTGGTTTCTGACTCTATCCACTGTCCTCTCTCTCTCTCTGGTTTCAGACTCTATCCACTGTCCTCTCTCTCTCTGGTTTCAGACTCTATCCACTGTCCTCTCTCTCTCTGGTTTCTGACTCTATCCACTGTCCTCTCTCTCTCTCTGGTTTCAGACTCTATCCACTGTCCTCTCTCTCTCTGGTTTCAGACTCTATCCACTGTCCTCTCTCTCTCTCTGGTTTCTGACTCTATCCACTGTCCTCTCTCTGGTTTCAGACTCTATCCACTGTCTCTCTCTGGTTTCAGACTCTATCCACTGTCCTCTCTCTCTCTCTCTCTGGTTTCTGACTCTATCCACTGTCCTCTCTCTCTCTGGTTTCTGACTCTATCCACTGTCCTCTCTCTCTCTCTCTCTGGTTTCTGACTCTATCCACTGTCCTCTCTCTCTCTGGTTTCTGACTCTATCCACTGTCCTCTCTCTCTCTGGTTTCTGACTCTATCCACTGTCCTCTCTCTCTCTGGTTTCTGACTCTATCCACTGTCCTCTCTCTCTCTGGTTTCAGACTCTATCCACTGTCTCTCTCTCTCTGGTTTCAGACTCTATCCACTGTCCTCTCTCTCTCTGGTTTCTGACTCTATCCACTGT